GTTATAGTATTGTACAGATCTAGCAGTTCAGACTGCTGCTATTAGTCCAAGAGGAGATGTTCAATGTTCAATGTGCATTCAAACCCCGAGAGGTTGTCAAGTTCAAAGACAACTGGCTCGCCTGATTGGCCAGTCTCATGCACGATCCGCTAAAAATCGCCAGGCTTCAGTGCTGAATCACGGTCCGACCCGCTAATTAACAAGGATAATCGTGAATGGACAAGAGTCCATTGTTGTGATGCCTCATGGAGACAAAAAAGGATTTTTGCTTGTAAAATATGCCTTTTATTTTATACTGAAGTATCTACCCAGGCTGATAACCTGATACAACAATGAAATCATGTAATATACAACTAAATCATCCAATAAAATAGGTTCAGGGAAAGAACCGGGGTATCTATAACTCAACAATTCCAAACCCATGACGCCGTTCGATGCGTACAATTTGACTCAATACATATAGCCGTCCCGCCTGTCATAAGCAACCTCACTGTGGAAACGTCACAGGGGCATGCGCGGGCTGGCCACCAAACATGCGAGCATCAATCATGGGGATGTGGTTCTTTTCGTAATGGTGGAAAGCCGTAGGATCAGCCGAGTATCGGCTTCCGGACTCGTTGTCGATGTCGCTGACGACTTCGCGAGTAAGCTCAACGTAGTCATATGCGAACTCTCCGATCTCAGCGTCGTCGATACCCTGAACTTCTGCATCCGAATCGACTCGAAGACGCAGACCGGGAATGAGGTTCATCAGGAATAGAATGATGCAAGTGACGACGAATGAGTATAGGCCACCACAGATGGAATCGGCAAGTTGATAACCCATCTGCGCCCAGTGACGTTCGACCCAACCGCCCTTGATGTGAGAGTAGCCGTCGAGAGCAGCGATGCTGGGGGTGGCGAAGAAGGCGGTGCAGATATTGCCGATCAAACCACCAATGCCGTGGACGGCGAAGATATCGAGTGCATCATCAATTCCAAGGAGGAACTTGACCTTGGTCGCATAGTTGGAGCCAGCAGCGCCGACAGCTCCAAAGATGACAGCAGCCCATGGGGGGACGTAACCTAGACTAATGTTAGCTCACGTCAGGTTTGAAAGATTATGACCTGCTCACCAGAGCCAGGAGTGATGCAGACGAGTCCTGCAACAACACCAGAGCAAAAACCGACAGTAGAGAACTTCCTCTCCAGACGATAGTCCAAGAGACACCAGGTCATGCCACCGACACAAGCAGCAAGGTGAGTTACGACGGCGGCCATTACGGCGCGAAGGTTAGCAGAGAGGGCAGAGCCGGCGTTGAAGCCAAACCATCCAACCCAAAGGAACACTGTTCCAGTCACGATATGAGTAGCATTGTGAGGACGGTAGTTGAGCTCATGCGTTCCATGGCCACTACGCTTGCCCAGCATCATGGAATAAGCCAGAGCAGCGCTTCCAGAAGCGATGTGCACAGGGGTACCTCCAGCAAAATCGAGGCCGCCCATCTTGTTAGACCAGCCACTGGGGTTCCAGGTCCAGCAGGCAATAGGGTCGTACACGACAGTGGCCCACACGAAGGTGAAGATAATACAGGGGAGCATGCGGCCACGCTCGGCGACGGCACCGGTAGCGAGAGCGACAGTTAGGGCGGAGAACATGCCCTGGTAAACGGCGAAGAGCATATCGGGGAGATGTGCGGAACCAACCGAGGGCCGGGCCAGGACATCGCGGAAGCCAAAGTTGGCAAGGTCACCGATAAACGGGCCGGCCGTATGCGAGAAGGTGAGAGAGAAGCCCCAGAAGAACCATTGGAAAGTTGTCACCGCGGCGCTCATTACTGAGAGCCATATAAGCGATAGAGCCGATTTGCGACGGGCGAGACCTGAATAGAAGAAGCTTTGGACACAAACGTCAGCAAATGAGACCACTAACCCAATTGAACAGCGCCAAAGAAAAGACTTACCCAACGCCAGGAATCATTAACAGCACTAGAGCCGTGGCCGAGAGCATCCAGGCGATATCACCAGGCTGCGGGCGCAAAATGTCAGCTTGCGGGCGTTCAAGATATTGGAGGGGCCACTATTGAACATGACCCACTGCCTGTCTCCAAGGACTTTCTCAGACTCTTTTTTTGAGTGAGTGCGTGAGTGAGAGAAAGATGAGAAGACTGAGAATCAAGAGGAATAGAAAGTGAACGTAGCGAGGACCAAGAAGGAGAGAATGAGAGACGGAGATAGACAACTCACCTCGTACCAGATATTGACATCCATATCGAGCGGATTCGCACCTGTTGAGCCTGTACCGTTATACTTGAGCTGCGTTGCTCCTCGAGCATCACCATCACCTCCCATAGCCATGACGCCGGTTCTGACTTGGGAGGAGTGATATAGAAATAGAAATGCCAACGTCGATAACGAAGGATGATGTGACAAGGTCAAGAAGGTTGCACTGCGTGACAGCGGAAGTGATAGTGACATTCTGGGCCAACAGTAAAGTAGGAAGAAGGGAGGAAGAGACTCAAAAGATAAGAGATCCAGGCAGGGGGTGCAATTGGTGTTGAGAGTGTGCACGGCTGAGATTGAGAATGTGAGAGAAAAAGGGCGCGATTCCGGTTCAGGCGGGCAGAGATAAGAGATCCCTGGTCGTGAGCTTGGCTGTGCAACCCCTGGGACGACGTAATAGACCGAGTTAGACTGTTAGATGTATCTAGGCTGACTCCGTGGGCTTTTGGTCAAGAGGGAAAATATGGAGGAGACGACGACGACGACGCGAAAAGGGTCTCGAGACTACCGGCGGTACCGCCGTGACGTTCTTTTTCGGGGCGAGGCAATTCGACTCTGAGCTAGAGTGGGAGGCGACGAAATAGATTGAGCAGTCTCATACTGCCATCCGGCGGCTCAAGACTGAATTATTCTGTCAACCTCCCTACAGTGGGGGTCACCCCAGACCAGGCGATCCAATACGGCGGGCGCTTGTCAACTTGCGGAAGAGTTATCCTTAGTTAAGCCTCGCCACTCACTTCTCACTCTCACACTACCTATCTTCATCGCCAGCCTCCATCTCAAATTGTATTCTGAATGAGCATCCAGATGAACAGCCCGCAAACAAAGGCATCAAGTCTTTCTACGGGCGCACTTTCACTACAACTTAATTCATAAGCTCACTTAGAGTTCCCCCTTATACTCAGTCACCCTCTGTAGCCCTTACAATCCTCTTTGACCACGCCATGCCGCCTTGTAAGGAATTCATCGCAAACTTATCCAGTTCTAGCCCTGACAAGACTTCAATATGCAGGAACACACATCAGTCGTCTACTGTGGTGTCATCGGACTTCTCTCACTGCTACGATATCTCGCTTCACTTTGCCAAAAACTCATGTAAAAAGCACGACAAATGGCAAAGAATGCCTATATCAGTCGCTATAAAACCCCGGATCTTCTTCTGATAAGACATCCCCAGACCCCAGCCTGCCCCTGACTGCTTACATGCAATGTTGATCTTTTTGCCTCTGATTCCCTCCGGAGAGGCAGTTTGATGCTCTACAAGGAAGTTATGAATAACTCTACAGCCAGTGTTATCTCCTTACCACTATCCACTCACCCGGTGTATTAACGACAAGACTTCGACCTTCCTCTCCTTTAAAACAAAAAGCAAAGAAATCGTCAGCTTGAGTCAACCCGTCACACATGACGAAACTTCCTCTGAGCCACTGAGCTGAAGCTCACCCATGGCCTCTGATAAGCACTGTCACTTTGATTGGTCCAGCTAAGGTGTGGGGGTCTCATGTTGGACGCCCAGCTTCAATAGACCTCCGGTGAGCGAACACAGACGTCAAAGCTCAAGAGTTCATCATGTCATATCTCGAGTCTGTCGACAGTCTTTGGAAGGTGGCTTGAATCATGATGTTCACGTTTCTTATTGTGATGTGATATTTGATATGTCTCGTTTCATCATCATGCTTCGTCTTTCAGTTCAGTCTGTTGGCCACAAGGGTTCTACCATGTTGGTGAATCCTCATAAGCAACTCCTCGGACTTTAAGATGAGATAAAGCATATGAACATCAATAGGATTTCAAATATGCTAATTATGATATCTGACACTGCACTGCCCCTCAGAAGATGATATCGACATGTCAAGAATCAGTGGCACTTGAAGGTTCTGGGTGAGATGAAACTCAGAAACATATTGATAATGAGGATAATATTAGTAAAATCTAAGATTACTTGCCCCTGTTCACATGCAAAGAGCTGTTTAAACCTGAACCGTAGCCAGGTAAGATGCATATGCATAGTTATTATGCAGGCCTCGCTGCGTCACAATTATTGAGACTCCGGATCAAAAGGCAAAAAGCAGATACTCAAAGAGCTCAACAAAGTATTCATAGGACATTCGAGACTTATCTTATTTTTGTTTTCTTGTTTTATTGTTTGTCGTTCTGAAATCGAAGTTGTCTGAGAGCTTCCGCCTTTCCCCAGGCTGTCGAAAGATATTACAACAACAATGATGTTTTTCTTGAGCCTCAAGTTGAGTGGCCCGTCTGTACCAATGATGTGTGGCTTCAGATACGGCTTTTTGTTTTAGTCAGTGCGTTTACACGGCAAGCATGCCTAATCACGGGCATTAAGGCATTGGAGCAATGTACGTATCAGTTCCTATTCTGCTTAATCTCCGCAGAACAGAGCTTTATACGCTGTATGCGGAGTAGAGACTAACTAACTACTAAGGTATTGTAACAAGACCACGCTTCTTCCTGATTACTCGTAGTTATGATCGCTTTCAACGTGTCCACTTGCTGGGCCAGCCATCGTCAGGATGTATCGCTGTTTCCTGGGAGGCTCTTTTAGCCTCGCAAGTAGGACCATCCCCTGTCTGCATCACCTTGATAAATGTCGCCGTGTCAACGGATGTATCTCCATTATTCTGCTTAAAAAGCAGGAACTGCCATGGCGCTGTCCGGATTACAGTAAAAAGAAGCCAGGCGACTACCATCATGAAGACCTTATGCGCAACCCTCGTGTACTAAAGAGGCCTTTCCATAAGTTCAAGTCTCCTTTTATACCATTCTGGACGAGTTCGGGAGGAAATAGCGTACAGTACCTGATTCTGCATTAGTTTATTCTACTCTCAGAACATCTTGGAAACCTACAGTCTCAGCGACATCAATGAGTGGCACCAGTAGCCAAACACGAATGAAAATATCGGGACCACTGAGGCTATCAGCGAACCAGATGCCAGGCCACCAAGGCCAATACTGCAGCTTTGTATAAAGGGAACACTCCACAAGGATTCCCATGACCAATAAGCCACAAACTCCCATCAATGTCGACGCCCACGGCCCAGGTCCTTCGTTGCACAATACACAACAGTAGGAGAACATCCCCAGGCCAGACACTTCGACGTCCCAGCGCTAGAAACAACTCGTCAGCAAACAGGCGAGGCTTACTGACATCACAGCTACTCACATTCTGTCTGATTGGTTCCAGAGTGCCCATGACTAGAAAGCTCACGAGTACGCGACCAACTGACTGGAGGTGATCGTTTCCAACACATTGACGAAACCCAATGAGAGGCTCTGTGTGAGTGAAAAAAATCCCTAGAGACAAAAAATACAAGAAATCAAGATACTTCCAAGTCCAGTTGAAGAATGACTGCAGTCGACCAGTGGATTTCTTCCGGAGTCGTTGTGCCGCCGCTATGTTCTGAAGAGCTCCATTCCCGTTCGACAGCTTCGCATCCCCATTTTGGGCTTCTTTCTTCTGAGACTGAACTGCTCGAGGCTTGCCATTGGCATTTTTGGCGGGTTTCTTCCGCCCCTTTTTGGGCTTTGGTCCTTTCGCGTTGCCGTTTCTGGATTCAGGTTCTTTCGTGATGCTAATCTCCTCGACGGGCTTTTCGAGATCAGCCGCCTTGACAAGACCACTGCACTTGGTCACGCCAACTTCTACTTCTCGACGAGAGTTTTGAAATATGTTTAACACAGGGCGAGCAATAGAATACAAGGAGAGGCACACAGTCGCGAATTCGACCTCGTCAATGGCGCCCATAAAGAGTTCATGGCCGAAGAGAAGCTTCCGGATGCTGGTTAGAGGGACTGTCAAGAGTGACAAGACCCAGTAGAGGGCGTGATGTTTGAACGAAATCATTGCGTTCCGCAAAGCTTGACAGTATGTATGACTCGGGAATCAGGGTTCAAGGATAGGGGAGATGCTTTGGCCTGAAGTGTTATGGTATACATAATACAACAAGTTGAAAGAGATGAGTCTTGTGGAAAATCGTTATATCCTGCAAGGCCCAAAAGTAATGGTTGATTTAGCAATGTTTGTGGTAGGCAGCTTCCAAGTCAGATTGTAAATGGGCTCAACAGCAATCGCGACCACGATGGTATAGAGCAGCGACTTCCAATCACAGTCAGGGGACAACCCAAGGTAAGGTAGCTCCGACAGATATCGTGCCTACCACAGAACCAATGTAAGGTCAGTACCTTTAGTAGGTAAAGGAGCAAACACCAGAAGTTGAGAGCGTAGCGTTTTCTACACTGAAATCACATACATAAACGCAAGGCAAAACATGCCGTCACAGATTTGATATACTCGAATGTGCATTATAATTAAACTCGATTGATATACCGCGGTCAACTCGGCTGGTCCCCATTCCAATATCTTACAATCCAACAGGTGCAAGCACCCGGCAAACTGATAGTCAAACGAGAATACAAACATTATATATACTCAAGAATACACGTCCTTTTGCGGTCTGTGTTCGATGCAAAACAAGTATCAGCTCTTCAACACAAATGTTTCCCCAGTGCTCCTTTTCCAATGCACGCGTAATGTGAGCGCGATGATAGGTACCCAATAGAGTACACCAAGACTATTCAAAGTCCGTGTAGAATGCGTGTCCAAGTCTTTGTTTCCTGGTCGCTGAGAATCATTACCAAATAATGATGATGGTGAAATCAGATAACTCCGCCTCGCTAAATGCAATATGGGCACCAACCGTGAAAGGTGCTCCCATCATGATACTCCAACCCATGTGGTCTTAATTATTTGTATTCCTTCTCTTTCAGGCGCTGCCACTAAGCGTCTTAAATCTGTCCTCAAAGGATTTCATCTGCTCCTGCTCCAGAAGCTTCTGCAGGCGTCGGGTCTCGCGGACAGCGGCCTCTCGCTCATCTTGAAGGTTGAGCACCTCGATCTGAGCAGTGCTCATCCTAGCCACGACGTCCTGCATCTCCTGCTCAGCGTCCTCGAGTGCCTTCTCCAACTCAGCAATGCGGTTGCGAAGCACCTCCATCTGGGCGGCGTCCTCAAAAGATTTCTCGGGCAGACGAGGGGATCGTAGAGCGCCAGGGAATCGCGGTGATAGGGGGCTGAGGAGCGAAGGCTTGCGGTTAGCCTGAAAGTTAGGCGAACGGGGGCCGCTGAGTCCGGTGTTGTTGCTCATGCGCTGGAGCTGGGCATTATGCGCCTCGCGGATAGCAGCAATCTCCTCCTCGTGACGGTTGACACGATCTTCAGATGCTGACTGAGCAGCAATCAGCTGCTCTTCCATAGACTTGAGGCGGACTTGCAGGTCAGCGATACGATCCGAGTTAGCCTTGCGATCGTTGTCGCCTCGCACGACAGCGTTAGAGAGACGCTCTCGGAGCTGAGCATTTGCAGCGAGTTGTTGTTGAACCTGGGTTGCGAGCTCTCCAACCCGACGAGCAGAGTCGTTAAGCTCGTCAGCAAGAGCGCGCTCGCTCTCGATTGTCTTGACCTCATATTCGCTCATTGTATCATACTGATTTTTTAAATTTTCAACTTCGTGTTGGGCGGCATCCCGTTCAGAAACTGCAATGGACAGAGTGCGCTCTAATCGCTCGACAGCAAGCTGGGTCTTCTCATCACCAACTGTCTCATGCTCGAGCTGTTTGATTCTCTCGAGCGATTCAGCATAAGCAGCCTTGAGCTCGTTGTAAGCCTTGGCAAGCGACTCGGATGTGACCGGCGCCCTCAGGTTACCAAACGAGTTGCTTGCGTTGCTGGAGCCACTTGAGCGTGCGAAAGATTCGGGAATAAGGATGTCCTTCTCCTCGAGTAGGTTGCGAAGCAAAGAAATCTCCTCTTCAGCCTTGTCCAAATCCATCTTCAGTCCGCCAAGGCCGCTTTCAACCTGCCACTTCTGCTCAAGCGCATCTTCAGCTCGGCGACGAAGAACATTGATCTCTGTGCGCAAGTTTGAGATTTCTCTTTCGAATCCAGCCTTCCTTGGAGATGCTGAGAGGAGTCTCTCTCGTTCGTTCTGTAGCATCCTGATCTTCTTTTCGTTCTCACGGTTCTGAAACTCTTGGCGGTCAAGTAGATTTTTCAGTGCCTTATGGAGGGCGTCTCTCTGGGCCTCGACGTCCTTTAGGCGCTCAGAGAGGGCCTCCCTGGACTCGTTCTGTAGGTTCTTAACACTGTTAGACCGTGATAGACCAGAGGGTCGTTGGCCACGGAACGAGCCTGTCGCAACCGAGTTTGATCGGGCAAGGCCGCCACCAAAACCACCAGACATAGCGCGAGACATGCGGTTCAATGAGGGCGTCGGAGACCCGGACCTCGATGAGCCTCGCAAGTTGTCGTATTCTTTCCTGAGCATATGAAGCTCTTGCTGCATTTTGGAAGACTCATAGGTCAAGTTCGAGTATTCAGCAGCCTCTATCTCGAGGCCCTCGACACGCGCCCTGAGTTGAGGAACAACTTCGTCTCGAAGGTTGTCTCGCTCACTGGTCGCCTCGTGGAGCTCTCCCCTGATGGCGTTGATGAGGTCCTCAAAATTGTTCTTCACAACACGCTCCTCAGATAGTCGCCTCCTGAGATCGCCGCAAGTAGTTTCGAGATCCTTAAGTCGACCACTGGCATCCTGGTTGTTTAATTGCGCCTGGTCGATTTGCGATGCCTTTTCGGCAAGCTCTTTGATCTGGTGGTCGAGCGCTTTTCGTTTCCCCCTTTCATCCTGAAGCTTATTCGTGAGCTCTAATCTTATGGAAGCCTTCTCTTGTTCAGCCCTCCTTTGAATCTTTTCAAGTTCCTCTCGACTCGGCTCGGCTTCACTCAGCTTTGCCGAACTATAGCCCGAGTCAGAGTAATAATCGCTTGACCTCTTACCAGGAGCTTGAGGGTTGTTGACTTGTTCCTGGAGTCGATCTACTAGGTCTTCCAGATCCATCTCGCGCCGGATTGAGCTTGCCAGCTCGGCGCTGATGGCCTTTAATTCATCTTCCATTTCGTCGATTTGCGCGTAAGTGGGTGACTGTAAAACCGATGAGTATGAGTTACGAGAGCTTGAGATATCCGTCACGCTTGAAGAATCTTCGTGAATATAGTAAGGGTTGCTAACCGTAGAATAGGGGGTATCATTGGCCACGCCGCGTTTGGAGGGGGAGATTGGCGATGATGTGGACGAAAACTCCGTCGCAGAGGGAGATGGCGATGGTGCTGCCCAGTGGAACAGAGAAGCAAATGGTGAATTCTGGCTCGGTGACTTGGGTAATGGCTTGTTTAGCTGTGGTGTTCCTTGACCTGAGGGGGAATTTGGTTCATCCGGTGATGTGTCGTAGTTCGCAACGTCAATTGTGACCTTGTCGAGTTTGAGATGTGGTGGTGTTGGCTTCGGAACAAACATGGGGGCGGGAGCGAGAGTCTGGTGTGATATAGTATCGTCAGATGCAGGTGATCGAGTTCCTTGAACCTCTGTTTCAGAGCGTTCGGTCGGCTCGGCGGTTTTGGGAACAATGGCAGTTTCTTTGTCGATTGGAAAAATCTTCTGGCCCTTGTCGTCGTCGCTATCGCTCCCATCAAGGATGGTCTCAGAGGTAATGTCTGGCGCAGAATCTGATTTTGAGTCCGAGATCAAATCATCATACCCGTCCAGGACGTCAGAGAAGTCTGAACTTGAAATGGTAGGGCTGTGTCCTGGAATGTTTTGTGATCCAGGGGTTGTCGCGGCAAGGGACGCCAGGTTGGCGTCGGGAGCTCTGCCAGAGGAATTCCGATTAGCCACATATTCTGTAAGGGAAGTGAGGGGTTGTCCAGTTGGATATGTAAGACATGGAGACAAAGGGACAAAGAATTAAGCAGAAAAGAGGACTCACGGGGCAGCTGGTGGTGCGGCGCGTTGCGCAGGAGAGAATTCGTAGAGGGTCGGACTGTCAACTGAACAAGGTCTCGCGAATCTCTGGCTCGGCTTTCCAAGATCCAGAGGTGACGGCAAGGGAGATCCCGACGCAGAGTATCGCAATGCCAATGCTGATGCCGATGATGACAGAGGTTTGCGCTTAATTGGACCTCCGATGGGAGACTGGACGGTACTGGAGGGCGACGCAATAGAGCCGGAGACCGAGGACGAGTCGGGTAGGACGTCTACCGTCTGAGATCGAGCGTGTGCGGAGGAGGATTTCGGAGAAGGTGGATGCGGTTCTTTTTCGATTTGAAGCGGATGGGCTGATGGTGAGGATAATGGAATAGAGTTATCGGCAGGGACCAAAGAGGTTGTAGCAGATGTTGCAGATGGGACGTCGACAGGAGGTGTCTTGGTATCAGAACGAGTATCAGAAGTCGCCAAAGGCTCCGTTACTCCAGACCCCGGAGCAGAGGCCAGGGCGGGTTCCATATTTGGAAGATATACCGGTCCTCGCTACGAGCCACCCAAAGGTACCGTACTATACGGTTCGTGAGGTCCTGGGTAGTAGAACCGCGGCGGTAAGAGAGTGAAGCTGGTGTGTGTGCGCGGTAGGAGGTGTGAAGGAGAAGAAGGGAGTGGGGGTGTGTGATGAGTGAGGCGACGACCTATCGACGGCTGACCCAGGGGCCACCAGCAAGCGACAGTGAGGTTCAGGTAGTATAGTGCAGTAGTAGCAATACTAATGTCTTATCACCGGAACAAGGCCTCAATCACCAACGTGTGAGGGAGGAAGAAGTGAAATTTGGCCCCTGGGTTGAAGCGAAGGGAGCAAGAATGGATGGAAAACAAGCCCAGCAACTAAAAGAGAGGAGAATTGCGACGATGGCTGGGGACCATGCACAATAGTTTAAGCTAAGGTCAGGGGTCCGATAATTACAGCTCTATTAGCTCGGCCTCTCACCAGCCAAAAGGGAGCTAACCCCTGATCCGCAAGCGT